CGTGGTTCCAACCGAACAGGACAAGGAAATCCTCTCAAATACAAAGGCACTACGGACGTGATGAAATACCCAATGCTCTTTCGCTGGATTAGGTACTTCAGGGGGATCATGCAAGAAGCTCTGGAATTCCAGTGGAGGCAGGAGAATCACTACACACAGAACACTGCAATCAGAAGGCTAGATGGCTTGCTTCGTTGTGCAAGCGGCGCAGGTGGTAATCACGAAGGCTACACGATGGATAGTTTCAAAACGAGGTGAGTGGAAGCCTCTGCAGGAGTAAAAGGAGAATCATTTCAAAGAAGGTGTTCGTGTCACTAGATACAACGAACCATATGGATCACCTTGGGAGGTCCGAACCTTAACACCTAACAGGCCTAGAGCTGTGGTGTTCCTTCTTCTCCACAACTGCTCGTTTGCACCTACTTTTCAACTTCGAAGGACTAAACTCCCCACAGTTTCAAGAAGTATTTTAGAGTTACGAAAACGTGCATGGTGAGAATCGTAGCATAAGGCACTCATGTGGGCACTCCGTTTGCTAGAGACAGTGGAGAGTTAGAGGGCTACTGCAATGCCAGGCTTGCTTATCTTGGCGCGTGTCATAACTTGCCACATTGTAGGGCAATCTTGTGTCGCTTTTATGAATAGATGTAAACGCAGAGGGGTCAGTCCGTGCCATGACGTCGAGTCAACACGCTTGATGCTAACTCTTCATATGTTTCTGAGAAGGCGAATAGCGTAAGCTCCTGCTTACATGCAGCTCAGATATAGTTAGGTAAAGCGCCTTCAAAGGGGCGCATACCTCTATACATCAGGACGAATATTCTGTTTGCACTTTTTATCCCGCAGGTACTAGCTAATGAATTGTCAAAATTTTGTACGTGCAGTGCTGAAGGCAGTCTTGTTAAAAACCAAAGAATGCATCTTGCAGAGTTAGATTGATTCGGGCAGAATGCGACAGAGAGAGAAATACTGCGATTGTGTTTAGGAGACAATAGGAGGGCTCTAGCAACCCAAATATCTAGTCCAGTAGGTGGGAAACGTTAACCGTCATGATTCGCGAATGCCACTAGCATGTGCTTGAGACAGCGAGTGCTCCCTTAGGGCAATCAGCAGCGCGCAGGTGGTAACGCATCCCCTGAGAATACATCTGTTAGCTGCATGCAGAACGTCCCGCTCTCCTCGTCAGCAAGCCTGTCGAGTAGTTCTGTCAAGAACAGCGTCTGCCGCGTGAGGGCTTCTAAAGACGGGCTTTCCACGTATTTTATGCATTTCGGGTGGCACTCCCATCCGCAGCTTAGTTGCAAATGGTTAGCTGCGTTGTGCAACGCAATATGCTCCAGCGGCTGATCTCCTGCATTTAGCAGCATGGGAGAGGCACAGAACCAAGCTTTTTCAGGCCACTAAATGATGAGATTGAAGAGAACGGTTGACTGCATGCCCGCCTTGGCGCGTAATAAAAAGTGATGAAGCACTGGTATCAAAGTGTATTTCGGAGTTTCTGTCAACATGAGCGGTCTAGAGGCAGATATATAGGCGTACCAATTGTCATAATGGAATGCTTTTGCTGCGGGCGTTTGTTTATAAAGGCCGCGACCAGTCGGATAAGGGCGGTGTCCTTCCACTTCTCCAGTGGAAGTCCGCGAGGCTCACACATGTCCCGAGCCGATACAACCTGAACCTCTGCAATGGCGAGTAATCAGTCGCATTTCTAGACTCCCTAGTAACTAGTTAGGAACTTAACACGATTGCTGTTGGGTTAAGGCGCAGCAACTCACTTGCTGCCGGCACAGGCGGCAGATACAATGCAGACTCACTGAGCTCAGTAAGCGTTCGTTGTACAAGCGGGAGGATCCGAAGGGTCTTGAGAAGACCGATGGAGGTAGCATTGGAAAGGATTGTCACTTGACCGCGTTCTGTACATTTCTGCAAAAGCCGTCGGACGCTGCTCTCAAGTACAGCCAAACGGTTTTTAATCACAGGAGAGCACAGTGCAGCGCAAGGCCTTTTTGCTGTATAGAAGCTTTGGCCACAGCGTGAGTAGAGTTCACAAAGCCAGTCAGTTGGGCACAGCGTATTGTCCCAGTCAAATATGTACAGTCGAGCGAAGGTCTCCCCAGGCACACGCTGAGGGGCTACTTGAGACGGTTGCCGCAGTTCTGCAGATTCAGAGAGCGAGCCACTGCTGTCCATGCTTGTCAAGACACGGACTGGGCCAGCTTCTGCCTGCAGCCGGCGGCCCAAGGCGCGATGCGGAGGAGACTCAGCGATTTGTTGAAATGATGCCACTGCTGCCGGCACTCTCCCTGTGGAGCCGGGGTCCCTAGGTGGCGCTTTATCCAAAGAAAATGAACTAAGTGCAGTGCGATCCGACGGATCTACAGCTATTCGGCTTCCAGATTGTAGACTAGTAAACGTGCTCATCTCTGCCCGTTCCGTAGAAACTCGGGAAACCGTGAAGGCCCACAGCCCAAGGTGCGGCTCCGCTCAGCTAGGTTTAAAAAGTTCTTAAAGAAAAGACAACGAATAATCTTTCAAAAATGTCGTGCAGCTTTCCACGCTCGGTCGAGGGACTGCTCGAGACAATCGAGCGTGGTTAAGCCTTGCAGATATACGCCAGAACAATGAAATCCAGCAATCATGCGTGGCCATTAGCCTACTGACGAGAGAAGTTTTTTTAATTTGCAATATTTCAGAGCAGAAGAACCCCTGACGAGGCACCGCTGCTGAGGTGACCGCTCGCGCGGTGTTTGAGCTCCGTGGAGGGGGAGCTCGAACCGCATGTAAATTGGTAGTGTGCTCCCATATACGGTCTATATCGTCCTCCATGCTCAATTAAGTGCGTTTGAGCTGTTTCATGACATTTTCCTGACAAGTTTAGCTTGCTCCAGCACCGTTTCAGGGGCTGAGCCTCTGAACTTCACAAGCAGGTCGTGTTTGGGTAGCACGGCATAACATCGCCTTATTTCGACACTCTGCCTGTCAAATAAAACCATTCTTAGTTTAGAAGACCGCTGGTGCTACTTCCAGCCACCGACTGCCACATTAAGTGGAGTACGAGTCGAACAACTTCAAGGTTCGCAGAGCAGCTAGGCAGGGGGACTTAGCCGGAGAAGTCCAGAAGAGAAGGATGAGAACACAATTATTTGAATAAGCACTGCTGGACAGCTAAGTTTTTGAGGCCGCATCTGGTTTGTCCCATCAGCAATGGAGCAGGGGTGGAGCGGATCTACCCTTAGCGGACCGAAGATCAACGGCTGGCTGGAAGGTGAAGGGCGCTGCGTGCTTCCGAATGGCGTTATATATGAGGGCCAATTTAAGGGGGGTAACTTCCACGGGAAGGGTAAGTACACTGCGCAGGTGATTCGAACCTCGAGCGCGAAACGGGCACAGCTGACATTATCTTAACTTCAAAATGCAATCTGGGACGTAAACGGGTCCCGATAATGGAAGGTGAAACATATCGCATTTCGGCATATACATATTCTGAAGAGTTGTTGCGTTGGACGGCAGATGGGGCCCGGGCGCAGCAGCTTACTTCCACAAAACAGCCCTTGAGTCATAAAAATACTTCCTAGGAAAAGAGCACCTTAGCTAGATATGCATCGAACGTTTATGACTATAATGGTGGTGAGCAGATAGCTAGGAGTCCCGAGTTCAACCCCAACTTGTGCACTGGCATATTCGGCGTCGCAAACCCTGTGGTAGAGTTTCACAGAGCATCTTTTACGCGACCGCTGCGCCAACTTGATTTTCAACTTTGTTATTGGTAGGAGTTCTTATTTATCCCGATGGCGGTCGATATACTGCTGAGTGGGAAGAAGGTCTCGCAGTGAGTGGTAATTATTCCTTTAAGGATGGGCTTCCCTACCAGCTGGAAAACTGGAGTTACCTTGCTCCGAGTGATCGACGCTTCGTAAACGAAGTTCAAGAAGGATTTGATCCTCAGCGGTCAGTTCAACAAAGAATGGCGAGAATGCCGGAAGGGACTTACGATACAGGTAATTTCCCTCCTAGCAGCTATCTGGAAAGCTTTGCTCTCAGCAGTACAACATACTACCTTCTCTGTGGCTGTAGCTAGCTTTCAGGATAAATACAGTACCTGCTCTGCGCACTTATAAACCACAGGAGTTGGATACTTTAATGAGGAGACGGGTGAGATAAGGTCTTACGACGATGGATCTTTGGTGGCAGTGCCGAATGCTCTTTTTGCAAATTGGATCGTCAAGCAGTGTAAACGGGGGGCTGAAGGCCCCCGTACAAACTGTGGCTAGCGAGTCGTTAGCCAACAGGGAACTCTTTAATGTTGAACATTCCCTGTCACGCTTAAAACCCAACTTCGCTGAGCAGCAGTAGTGCCGATTTCAGTCCCCCTTTCGCATCCTCCCTCTTTTTCTGTAACAAGCAAAGTATACCTAGCTCAAGGGCAGCTGTTGCAGGCGGAAGTTCTTTATGAATGCACAGAAGCAGCCTTTCTCAAGAACACTTTTTCCATCAAGGTATCGTAAATGCGGTAACATATAAAATGTGCCCTGAGCCGCCAGATATGACAACAGCTGCAGTCATTTCAACTCATCGACAAGTTGTTCACCCGCTAAAAAGGTGAAATGTCAGGCGGATTCACCCTTTTTCGCAGCATTAAATGGGGTGTTTCTCCATGCGAACAGTCGGTAACGTCAACTGAAGAGTTGTTGAAGCAACGTGTGACGCAAGTCCAGAATTGCCTTGCGCACACTGTGGGGAAAACACCGGGCAATTGGAAACTATGGCAACACTTGACAAGATGTTGTTGAGCGCAGCAATATATTTCGTGCACAGCACGGCATGAAGGAAACGTAAACAGCTACTGCGCCAGTGGGAGTGCCAGCACAATCTCTAATTCCCCTTGGTCAGTGCGAGCAAGCAGCAAATGCAGAGAGATGCTTCTCGCGATGGATTGTTGACTCAACTTTAAATGCCTCTTCGTCAGTGTAGAGCTTAAAGCCTATTGCGACCCTCTACTTAGTGTATAGCCAACGCCAGATAAAACTGCGAACCAGCGGCATTACACTGGCTGTCNGTCCCCGTAACGGAGGAACTCGCTACACTGTGGAGACGGTCCGCGGTCGTAGTTGGGTCTGTTTAAACAATCTTTATTTGCATATTTGAAATAGTAGAATTCTTTCGTCTGTGAGGTACTGTTGGGTAGGCTTAGAGTCCATAGTCCTTGACGTGGAGTGCAAATATATTCTGCAGTGGCGAGCGTGCACGAGAATGGAGCGGAGCCAAGCGTGTGTGGTCTAAAACGGGGTTATCTGGGGGACCAAGTGTATAAAGAGGAGTTGTTAAAGGGCAGTGTGATATTCTAGATGGAGAATAGTATAGCAATTCTATAGCAGTGAGGACCGTGTTGGCCGCCAGCGGGAGCAGTGTGCAGCACCAGCGATGGCAGCGTTGTTCGGCGAGCAGCGAAGAACACTTCAGGAAAGTATGATGTGCAAAAATTGTCATTTTTGTAACTAGGTGTTTTTCATTGATTTGAAGCTGGGGGAGGGTCGGAGTCCCGTTTTATGTGACCTGGACAGGCAGAGCGCTGCTGCGGCGGCGCAAAGTGGCTTCTGTACCATTCTGTTGGTTGGGGTACAGAGCCACATGCGGCGTCCTAATTCATATAAATATCATAAGGAGCACTTGGATTTGAACTTGTTTCTGTTGGTACCTCATGTGCGGCGGGACCAACCTCGGGACGTACACAGATACTATACGCCAGAGACACGGCGGAGAGGGAGAACAAGACCCTACTAAAATAGATACCCTGTTAAGTGCCGCCTCTCTACAGGGGATTCTCAACCTGTGTGAAAAATTCCGACCGAACTGATCGTTGGAGTGGCCCATCCTCCAAGCAGTCGATACTTTTGGATACCTCTCTGTAGTTGTTCNCCGAACTGATCGTTGGAGTGGCCCATCCTCCAAGCAGTCGATACTTTTGGATACCTCTCTGTAGTTGTTCTTAGGAAAGGCATTTGTAATGCATCATTCAAGCGCATAGGCAGATCCATCTCTCAGGTGCGGTTTTGCCTGTTGGTTAGACGCATGGGCTGCCCAACTTCGAGTTTGCAGCAGTCGCTTTTAGAAGTTGAGTGGTTCATCTGAACAGCTGTGAGCCATACGCAGTGGGATGTTAGTGTTACAGTTGACCTTTAGAGAGCTCACGCACTTTTCAATACTCTTGGGGGGCTCCGGTTGGTGAATTTTTGCCCTCTTCTTTTTCTAGGACCTATCAACTCGACAAGTCTCTACGCATTCTACACAAGGCTGACAGCATCATTGTTGAACATCTCGATTCCCTGCAGAAAAACGAGGCGTTCACCACAAGAAATGGGGCAGCCAACGACGGAACTAA